TTGCTACCAGTAGAGCCGGTGCTACCAGTAGAACCAGTGCTGCCGGAACCAGAACCAGAGCCATTGCTACCAGTAGAGCCGGTGCTACCAGTAGAACCAGTGCTGCCGGAGCCAGAGCCAGCGCCAGTGCTGCCAGTAGAGCCAATGTTGCCAGAGCTGCCGGAGCCAGTGCTGCCAGAGCTACCGCCAGCTGGGACGGAGCCAGTCGGCACTACCGGCGCAGAGGTAAGAGAGTTGCCAGGAAGAGCACCAGTAGCCGAAGGAGTCTCGCTCTCAGCGACAGGGCAGACAGTGGTAGAGATGGCAATGGTCGAGGTGACCACCGTCACCGAGTTGGCCGGGCAGTTGGTCACGGTAGGAGCACAGCTAGTAATGGTCACCTCCTTGGTCGTGTAGACAGTCGAGGTCGTCAGCTTGGCCGGCGACGAGACGGCAGGAACGGAAGCACCACTGCCGGGGGTCACCCTGACCACAGAGGCCGAGACCACAGAGGCGCTTGGAGTGGCCAGGCCAGGCACAGAAGGCGAGACCTTCGAGACAGAGGGCACGACGCTGGGGCGTGGCTTGCCCGGCGTGCAGTCGAAGCCGATGTTGTAGATGCCAAAGCCGCAGTTCTTCACCGAGCTGCTGTTGGAGATCTGGAAACCGACGGAGGTGGCACCACCACACTGGGTGTTGGTCACTTGTGTGCCCTCAGGGTGGCAGGTCGCGGTGTGCTTGCAGGTCGAGCCATCGGGCATGCCGTAGATGAAGTCAACATCCGTCTCCTTCTCCGTGTAGACATTGAAGGACGTGATAGAGAAGCCATTCTTGTCGGCACCGCAGCTGATCTTTGGACCAGACTCGTGAGACTGAGAGATGCTGCCCTCGATGCATTTGCCCTGGACACAGTCAGCATCAGTTCAGAGGGAAGGAAAAAAAAACTTTTAAACTTACTCCGCTGCCAGTGCGCTTGTGAATGGAAGGCTTGTCCGAGCAGGTGAAGCCCGAGAAGTCAAGGCCTCCATAAGAGAAGAAGGATCCGGTAGAAAGCCCGGACCAGTCGAAGCCGGACTTTTGCTGATCAGTGCATTTGTTGTCGCAGTTTTCGGGACTGGGGAAGTAGCCGTCGGTGGTCCACTATTGCAGCGTCAGCTTTGAGCCCTTTATCAAGAAGTAACGGCATGAATAACATACAGTAGCCGTAGCTTGCTGGATGGCTAAGAAAGTAGCCAGAGTTCCAACTGTGGATAACTTCATGGTAAAGGAGAGACACTATCAGTGGGTAGAAGGAACGTATTCAATAGACTATCGTCTACCAGCAACGATAATGAAGATGAAGGGAGCGAGTGAAGTGCAGTCGAGACTGCAAGGAACGAGTGGCTTGAACGAACGTCACAGCTTCCACAAGTTGGTCTGGTGACAGAAAATAGCCAGAGAGAGTGACGGCTGGACGATGGTGAAGAGAAAGCAATTTGATCAAGGTCGGGGATGCCACGACGTTAAAATATCTCCGGAAGAACCCAGGCCCAGGGGCTCAGCGAGGGCATCGGAAACCCGGGGGTTCAAGTTCAAGCTCATGCTGCTCCGTATCCTATCCTATCTCTGGACCAAAAAAAAGTAAGACATTGTGAGAAGAACCCATGATGGCCCAATCCGAATGGCCCAATCCCCGAACTGGGAGGGCATGCACCGCAGGTGCAGAAACGACGTCGTGAAACAAACTCCAGGGTTTGGGTCGAGACCAACTGGGCGTTAGTGCAGAGCTCTACCAGCCTGCAGGGCCTTGTGTGGTGGACAGGTCAGGATAAACTCAGGGCATGACAGAATAGGCACGCAGACGGTCCACCCAGGATTCCCAAACGGGCAGGATGGGAGCCACCCGTGGGGGTTGAGGGTGCTTCCTGAACGGGGTTCTGAGGGCCAGAGAATCTCGAAGAACAGGAGATCGGTCAGCGCCACGGGATGCAGCGGCACGCTGGGAGGTTATAGCAGACTGCTATTATTGTATCTCGGTATCTTCAGCCCAGGTCCTGAAACGCACGATCACACGAGTCGGTGAGCGAGACCATGAAGTCTCTGCCAGGGGTTGCTCCTGCAGCCTTCTTTCAGCCTTCTTTCTGAGGCTGCAACGCTGTCCATGTGCTAGAAAAGATGTTGGGCCCTATGGAGCAGGTGTCGATAGGCAAGCCAGCAGGGTGTGGACTCGGGACGCACATGGCAGGTTCTGGACTCGGTCATAGGGCGAGGTTGGCGGGCAACAGTCGATAGGAGAACCTTTTCCTGTTCCTGGCCAGCGAAGCCAGTGAGCCACAGCCCCAGATCGGGGCTTCAGCAGCCGGTCGAGAACGGGATGTGAAACGTTGCGCGTGTCATCGATTTCCGCCAAGAAACCCCGCATCTGCAATTCTATTTTTACCGGAGAAGCAGAGAGAACGGTTCGGCATCTCGCTCCGGTTATGATCCATCGTAGAGGCTATTTCAACATCAGAAGATTGGACAGGACAATTGGGAACAGTAATACGTACATCGCCATGCTACCTGAGTGCTCTACAGCAACGGAGTCATTCAGTTCTGCCATGTTGCCAGGTGAAGGAAGAACAAAATCTGGTGAATCTCCGGGATGGCCGCGGGCAGCTTGGGATTCCTGGCCCCTAGGATCAGGTGACAGGCCTATCAGCGGTGACGGGCAGCGCCACAGCGTTAACTCGCCAATTAATATGACAAAAATAAACCATCCAGAGAGCGTATTCCGAGGCATATTTTTTAGTGCTCTACTGATAGTCACTTTATGCGTATAGACTGTCAGCTCTCAGGGATATCATCGAATATGATCTCTCATTTTTTCAGCAATGCGAGTTGAACCTCACGTTACCTACGCCGGTACTATATATAGCAGACACCTGAGTCGGAATAAACAAACCAGAATCAAGCATGAGTAGACTCCAATCAATAGTCTGCCAGCACGACAGTGATTGGTGGAAGCTAATCGACCATATGAGTTTTTTTTTCTATCATTTTTTCCCCTTCATTATCCTTTCCAATTCTTGTCCTTTCATTCATTATATTACTGTCATATCAGGAGTTCCTCTTTGAATAACATTTATGTTGACAAATACCCTGTCCATTGTATGGTGGGTTTGGGATGGAGTGCTGTCTTTCAAGTATATGTAAGGAGTGATATTCCTTCCATGGACGGTCCTCCGTCCACGTGCTCGATGGACCTTCCACACGTGATGGCGTGGAGTACTACGTAGGATGTAGGATATAGCCGCCTATACTTTATTTTTATAATTTTTTTGTTTTTTTTTAAAAAAAATAAATTAAAAATAAAAATGAAGTAAAAGAAAGAAAGAAATATTCCAAAGAATATTGAAGTACTATAAATATTTATTCCATGGATTGAATTGAATGGTGGATCAACAATTAAACATTATATATATTAATCTGAAATCGTGGAGAAATAAACAGGGAATCAACTGTCCTTTGTCAAGAAATTAAAAAAAAAGCTCTTGATAATATCTACAGAATGCGGGCGTCACCAACAACTCTCCCGCCAATATCAACGTCATACATATTCCTGATACTGCCTCTGCACCTGCATCATTCTGACACGCAGACGAATACCTCCACTTTATATGAATCACGCCTTCTTCCCGCAGGAATAAGAAAGAAAGATCTTGGTATTGGGTAAGTATACCTAACATTATAATACGCATGAATTCTTCTATCTCATTCCACTCCTGATGGAACCAGATCCATGTCTGGGCAAAGGTCGGCCAGACCCGTTTTGCACTGCCTGCGGAGCGCTCATCGGCTTCGAGGAATTCCATGGGTACCGTCGCTGGAAGATCGAGTTTCATCCCTATCTTGATACCAAGAACCCGATGACATGGAGTAGCCTGTACCGAGTCAGTGAGTGCCAATGAATAAATAAATAAATAAATAAATGTGAATGAATCGTGCTTCGCGACGGCAACGCTAATAAAAATCGAAATGCAGTCTTCAAACCAGACCGATCGTCCCCATATCAATTGTCCGGAGTCGGTCGATGGGATACCTTTGCCGAGGAATGTCTAAACGCGCCGTGGGAGCGAGACGCCATTCGCGTTGACCTTCCTCAGCTGGAATGCCTCAGGGAAGGGGTGAACACAGTGAGGGAGATCCACGCTGCATCATCAATTCCATGAACGAAGACAAGGAGCCTCATGGCTACCTCATCCACGCCAACTGCTGGACGTTTATCGAGCAGATGATCGGCCCGCGCGCAGAACAGCATCTCGAGCTCTTCCTTCGCGTGCTGCGGATCCGGTGGCAGGAGAATCCGTTCGAGCTGAGCAGATACGTCCGCGTCGACTACGGCGTCGTGCGGGAGGATCCCGAGAACGACTGGGACCAGGACGAACTGCTCGAGAAATACGGCGTTGATTACCGCATGCCCGAGTTCTTCGGCCTGAGGGAGGACAACCGCGTTTACCACCGTGCGCGCAGCATGTTTCTCGCCAAGTACATGTTCCCCGTCTGGGATCCCCTGGACATTCCTGCCGTCCACGAGCTTTTCCGCAAGGCCGCCGAAGCTCGTGCGAGGGAAACCGTGAAGCGAAAGACCAGGAAATGGTGCCCTCTGCTGCAGCTCCCGATCGAGCACCTGAGAGCCCCAAGTTCCGTGCTGCCTCCCGAGATCAAAGATCTGATCCTCGACCATCTGCCTTATCACAAGGACGTTCGAAACGCGCTCTACGCGTTTGGGTGGAAGATTCCAGACTCCTACTGGCGCTCCCGGTTCCCACGCGACATCATCTTCGAGATTAACCACGAGCTGGATCCAAAGGTGGAGGTCGACTGGAAGTTTCTCTGCCTGAAGGCGGAGGAGCTCCTGGAGACGTCGCAAAGTCTCCTGAATCGGCAGCGGATCTTTCGCGTCCTGGAGGGGACAAAGAAGTTGTTCTTTGAGATGGATTCTCCCTAACGTAAGATGTAATTCTCAAACGCGACGTAATCCTAGCCTCCAGGGATTGAACCAAGATAGAGGAATAGAATGGAGAGATGAAGCCTGTGTTAGCCCTAGCTCCAGGCGTGGGCTGTGCAGGAACCCGTGTGTATAGAGTATGCGAGGTACCTTAGTAGCTACTACGTAGCTACTGTATGTTTTTAATATCTGCTTTCCAGGCGGGCACCATGACTATATACCCCTACCAGATATTCCTCGCTGATAAGATTTTCTTTTTTTTATGTGTCTTTAGACTTGTATTATCATTGTTATTTAGATACGCTGAGGGTTAGCTCCATAATATTGCTACCTAGGTACTATACAATACAAAGGATGAAAAATGCCCCTAACAATACCCTTACCTTCTACTCGACCTTACTATCCACATCTACACGCCAAACGGCGTCCAACTCCACAGCTTCCGCTCCATCTCGAGCTCCTCTTCATAAGCATGCCCAAACGCGCGGCGAAAGATGCCTTCCAGCACCTCGTCCCCGCGGGTCGTGTACATCGCCTTGGTGAATTCCCAGTACTCGGGCTTGTACCCCGCGCAGTCCCAATCGACGATCCCGCTCAGATGGCCACCCTCAGCGACGAGCAGGTTCGCGGCGTGGAAGTCAGAGTGCGTGAAATAGGAGCGAGGGTCCTGGCGAGGGGTCTGGCCGTCCAGAACATCGGCAGGCGAACATCCGAGATGGCTCGTGAGATGGTCGTTAAAGTCCGACTCGGCGTTGAACGGGCCTGCGGTCCCGTCTGGGATCCGGTGGTCAATTATGGGACCCCCCAGCGCGTTGCCGAATAGGTAGGGTGTGTGGTTAGGGATCTTTCGTAGCTGCGCAACACAAGCCTCCAGCTCGTCAGTAAAGCGATCGCGCTCAGCGTACGACATAAGATGGTACACGCTGGGAAAGGTCTGCCTATGGAGACGGGTCATGACGAGATACGTCGTATCGCCATACTCGGCGACATCGACTACGCGGGGTGCTGGGATGGATGTATACTGTTCAACTAGTCTGAGGGCGTTTGGCTCATTCTGGCGGGAGCGGTCTGAGACACTGCTTGACGATCAATCCAAAAGGCACCCGCTGAACCCATGGAACCGGACCAGTCCCATAAAGCCAGCTTCCGATCCTTACAAGGAGGAGATAGCAGCGCAGGCGTGCCCAAAGTGGTACCCAACGCCAGAGGCAACAGAAAGCTTGTCTGACGCGTGGACCTGGAAGATCTAATTAGATTTAGCATTAATAATCTACAATGCCATTTTAAGGGATTTGTTCCCGTACCTCTCTCTCTGGGCGTGGCCAGCCCCGAGCGACTTTATCCTCGATAGAAAAGAGATGCAATGCATTGGCGAATCGAAAATGGATCTCAAAGAGAAAGCCACTCGGAAGGCTGAGAGTTTCAGGGTCAGGCGTGTATGTACATTTTAAAGAGATGCACTGTGCCTTGAAATTCAGTTCCGTCTCCAAAGACGAGATCCGTGGGTTCTTCGGGATACAACTTCCGCAGCACATACTGCAGGCGAAATCTCTTAGCATGTACTGTAACTTTTATTCGGCTTTCTGACGGATACTGCCACTCACCTCGGCGTTCTGGCTTGCTTCGTCCGGATTGGACTCGGCGCTCGCGCGGCCAAGCATTCGAGAAAGCACCTGAGACTTTGGTCTCACATCGACATGGCCCTCACGAAAGGCCCGGTGAATGGTTGGTGATAGCAACCACATATTTAGTAGAGAAGATCCATCATTGCCGTCACAGCTAGCAAGTAGAATCTGCAGCCGGGCGACGTACGGGGGAGAGAGAAATGCTTCCAGCATTTCAAACAGGCGTACCCTAAAAAAAAAAAGAATTAATAACTGCGAGATCGATCATCTACAGCAGTTTGTCGGCGCAGCTCACCTCTTCAGCAGATTCGAGGCTCCGAAGCATGGAAGGGGGTATCACGTATGCTGACTCCACGGCTGACCGCGAACCACACTGTTCATCCTCAGTCAGAGAGCAACAGGGGCCATCCCGACGGCGAACCGAAGCGTCGAGATGCTTTGGGATCGAGTCCAAGGTCGTCACTATCGGAATCAGCTTGAGGGAAACACAGACCGCGCTGATGTTTCTGAGTGCCTGCTTACACCTCGCCGTTAGCCTCCTCCAGTCCTGCTTGGCCTCGCGCAGACAGCTTTCCACATCACGTGGGGAGATGCTCTGGTCGATTCGTGACAGCAGATACCGCGCAGCGAGCTCCGAGTCGACGGCGCTTTCGACGAAATGCTTCAAAATCAAGTGTTCAGTCGGCGACAGATTGACAGAGGAGATGATCTCCACCACAGTTTTGGCAGTAGCCATTGTTTGTTGATGCAAGACTAGATGCGGAGATGTAGTGACTGGGAACATAGTGGTAGAAGTGCCGCTGAGTCTGGTGAACACCGACTATCATACACCATAACAGAAACGAATCTTAGATTCACCCTATTCTTATTATGCGAAGCAGATCCTGAAATCAATGCATTTATAATATACGTAATACTGTTCAACTCGGAACACTACCCAAGACACCACAGCTCAAAACTCCGAGGTATCGCAAGCTATCAATCAAACAAGACTTTCAATCAATTCCAGACAAAGGAAACTTTTGTTGATCTTTAGTCATCATGGCCCCATAATCCCCATCCAAATCCATATACAGATTCATTCACCGCCGTCACCCAAGACGACAGAAAAAGAAATTCGTCACTGCATCTCATCCGTAAAATACGCCGTCTCTCAATTCTCCAAAACGACCCATCATATCATATCATGCCGCGCAAAGTAGACTCTCCATCTAATACTAACACACAGAGTGAATGTTAGACCTGCGCACCAGTTTTGGAACTTTCTTTCAAGTATCTTTTAATAGCATCGTATGCTGATGCCGATCAGCATCCCGAACAACAAGCCCGGGTATTAGATCTGTTCGTCCCTTCTTCAAGGGAATCAGTCGTATTGATATATTTCAATCAAAAAAGACTTCTCTCTAGAAAGGAAGCTGACTCCGTCGGTGAGCGTCAAGAAGCTTTCGCCGAACCGCTTCGCCGCCAGTATAGCTGCTTGCCTTGCGTTTCCGCGTTGGAGTTCTGGGATCGGCATACCGCGAATGCCGGAACACACTGGCTGGCCGGGATGGCGAATTGGCTGGCATGAACTCCCGGTGCTGAGGAAGCCGAATCAATGCCTGATACCGGTTGTGGTTCCGGCGGAAGGCGGTCACAATGCCCTTGTCGAGATGGTTCAGGAACCGCTCTGCACTGCTTCCCTGATGCGATTCATTCCCTCCCCGGTTCGGCGTCGGGGTGGCCGCCCCTTGCACGGAGGAAGCAACCACGGGAGAGGTGGTGAGATCCTCATCCTCAAAGGCTTTCGCCATCTCTTCTTCATCGGATGACCCATCACCAAAGTCGATAAAATCGTCCACATTGAGCAAGGCCTCAGGGTCATCATCATCGTCGTCCTCGTAGGAGCTGTCCCCAGTGAAGGTCCGAGAAGGATAAAACGCTTCCGGAGGACCCATGACCTGGCCACCAGGCGTGGCATCATTGCCCAAAGCGGTCATCATCAGATTAGCACCGGAGCTGATCATTGGACTGACATCGGGACCGGTCGGGGAGGCCAGAGCGTCGGTGTCACTTTCATCAACCAATTGCATCATGGTGGCACGAGGGCTATTGGTTGCAGTCCCGCAGAGGCTGTTGGTTGCCGACTCGAGCCAGTCATGGCGAGACGACGCGTACGCAGGGATGATGACGAGGTGCTTGCCGGTGCAGTCCACCAGAGCCACTGGTTTGTTGGGATCGGCGATAAAGGTACCCATTCTTGGTCCGCGGCGGCGAGGAGCAGCCGGCCGCCGACCATTTGCATCCCCCGACCCGGGCAGAGAGGTCGTGGAGTCGCGGCGAAGAATCGACCGTGGATGGGTGATGGTCGCCGGGGGTGGCAGATCTTCGTCCGTGGTTTCACCATCATCGGCTGAAGGCAGTCAGTAAAACGGCGGGAGGACGGGCCCATTTGCAGAAATACATACTCTCATAGCCACTGGAGCCGTCCGAAACAACATCCGACTCCACATGATAGATGTTGGCGGGGTGATTATCCAGCTCGCCAAAGATATCATCGTAGCGCTGGTTCTGGCCCAGAGTGTCCTGGTCATTCTCGATCATCCGACGCAGCGTCGGGTCGAGGCTGTCCTGCTGCAAGAAATCTCCGGGGAGCTCGTCATCCGTGCTGCCAGAGCGGGACTGGTCACTGTCGGATGAGGAGTCAGAGTCGGCTTCTTCTTCAAAATGCACGTGCCTCTGCACGGGGGTCTCAATGGCTTCGCTGGTCATGTCAGTCTCGCCAAAGGTGTCCATTGCGCTATACAGCTGGTCCTCATCCAAGAAGGACGCGGTCGAGAAAGGGACATGGTCATCCAAGGCGCCCAGGCCCGACCAGTCATCCGCATCGGCAGCATCGGAGAGGGACAGGATGCTGTCCGTATTGAGGCGCTCATTCTCCGACTCGACGATCAGCTGCTCTTCGACCTTTTCCACGTCCAGCTCTTCTTCATCGTCATCTGGGATGTCATCCACAGCGGCATAGGCAGCGTCTGAGCTGTCCGAGTCATTCTCATTCTCTGCATTGCTCTGCTGGACATCGCCATCATACCCATCGTCATAGGACAGCTTCCGCTTCTTGTTTCCATTAGTGAGGGGCGAGGATCCATTCTTCGACCCCGTCTTACTGCCTCTATTACTGGTTTTGCTCCCATAAGACGGGGTCACGTCCGCCGGCCGGTCCTCGTCATCATCCGAGCTTGCCTCTGAATCGGCCTCGTCCTCGCTGTCTTCCTGGATGGCAGAGATGGAGGAGACAGTGGAGATCGAGGAGATGGAAGGCTTCCTCTTTCTATTCTTATTCAGACCGCCCAATGCGGCGCCTTTCGAGCGATTCAAGCTCTTGGGGCGAGACTTGCTGAGCTGCACCACGGCTTCGGATGAGGGGGTGGACTCGGAGGTCAGGTCACGGGCGCGGCTGTGTTTTCCCGCATGTTTCGGGGACTGCTTCGGGGACAGAGAATTGCTTCGCGGCATTGTGATAGTGGTCAATCTCTCTTACGTGGCAGTGTCGACGGAGGGGGAAGACGCTGTATCGAGTAAGAATTCCTGTAGCAGAGTTATTCCAGGGGGATTTCAAGCCGTCTCGTCGATAAGATAGGATTAAGATGCGTCCGTTCAGCGGCAATGCGTGAGTAGGACGGTCGGAGAAGAGGAAGAATGAGAGGAGACGGCGTAGCGGGAGGAAGGGAGGGGCAGTAGGGGAAGAGAAGATTCTGGGGATGGAAACACACACTCGAGTCGCAGCGGACGACAAAGTGCTTCTTCCGTGATGGTACTCGGGGGCAATTTCGACGCGCCAAAGCAAGCGTCGAAAGAGGAGCAGATATCGTCGAGTCGATTGGATTCTTCGAAGAGCTGTCTGGACTGGGGAGCACGCGCAGGGCGTGCCCCCCAGCAGGAGATTTACAGCTCGACGAACGCCATCTGGCCGTGCACTCTCGACGATATCTGGGCTGGGGATGTCTGCACGTGTCTCTGGAGGCGTCTGTCACAAGGCTGCGCGGGGTGAGGATGGAAGATGACGATGTCTGCTCGGAATTGGCAACGAGGGAGGAGGGAGCAGAAGAAAAGGAAAAGCAGAGGAAAACAGGCGAGGAGCCTTACCCGGCTGGGCGTTTTTTCTGCAGCGGTGGGGGGCGCTTCAAGGCACCGGCGGCCCGCTCTCGGCCTCATTCGCCCGCGCGACTCACCGCATCTTCGCTACAGCACAGACTACGACAGCGTACCAGTCACAGACTGGGATACTGCTACGGTGCACTAGCTTCTACCCATCCTGGCGCGCCGATCCGCCGTCCTGAACCGCCGGACGTCCCTTCGCGAGCCGCCTGCTGCCCGAATCCTATGCATGGCAAGCTGTCCTCGCTGCCAGCGCAGAGGTACATACAGATGGAGTACATGTACAGCGTCGGCCGTACACAGGCGCGCTAGGGCCCCGTGCTGATTCACTCTTCGTCCAGCGATTGCTGCGCGAGCATTGGCGGACGCGGATTTAGTGCCATCCATTGCTTTCTACGGCAGCAAACGAAGGGAAGCAAGCACAAGACCAGGTGCTCTTTGCAGCGCCGTCTCGCCATCCCAGTCCCCAAAAGACCAAGTTCCAACGCTGGCCAGGACCCGCCAGGACACATGCGTCACAGCTCACCCCACCGCAGGTGGCAGCCATCGCCCAACAGCACCAGTGGCCACGGCGCCAGCCCGTGCTCTGAGATCGATGCTAAGTTGCTAACTCTCCGAGTCTTCGCCTTGCTAATGACTGATGTACAGATGGTGGTGCGACTAGGACGGCTCGTCCCAAATCGCTGGGGCAAAGGTGGAAAAAATCGAAGAATGTTGCAGCAGCCTCGGAATCTTTCCTGTCGCTGATCAATGGTGTGTCATAGGTGGAATCGGGAATCCCGATTGAATCGATGATTCATACCAGATCTCTCCTAACCAATCACCATCGTATGGATTTTACCCCCTCCAACGGCCATCGCTGCGAATGCAAGACACCCAATTTGACAGTAACTAACGGCCGTTATAAGCAAGCCATAGGCTCCCAGCAGGGAGGGGACTATTCGTTGTCCTCTGTCCGAGCGATGACTTGGTCAGTCGTAGTCCGTACTCGGAAGAGTGTCTTCGTTGCCGTCTGTTTGTCTGTCTGCTCCCGGCAGAAGGGCGACAGAAACCGGGTTTGGCCGTGACGTTGCCATCCCCCTTGCCGCTGCTGTGTCTGCAGAAGGGAAAAGAAAGACTTTTTGCCTGTTTTTCATCCAGATGGAGCTCTGAATGGCTGCAATTGGATTCAATGGGGAACAGAAGAGCCAACCAGATGGCATGAAGGCGGGCCATTTCCCTCATAATTTTTCCCCTCATTTTTTTTGGCGGAGCGTAATTGTTTTTTTTCTTTTTAGTGTGTTTTGTGGGGTGCGCTTCGCTTCGTACCGAGGCACCGCAGCCAATCACAGCATCGGCAGCCGAGCTACGGGTCACGTGTGGCGGCTCACGCCGGGATTCGCTCCACTGCAATCCATGGCTCCGCCGTAAGAACTAATTACCAGTTCCCAGTTCCAGCAGACGCCAGTTCCAAGGTCCGGCCTGGGAATCTTGACACGTTGGCAAAAATGGCAAAAAACGGCAACACTAGGATCCATTCAGAGGGGGAGGGGTAATTCTTCCAGCTGGCCTGGCCTGGCCAGCCCAGCCCAGCCGCCAGCCGCCACCCTAGAGAAGAGAACTATCTTTTTGTCGTCTTGGGAAAGAAGAAGAAGAAAGAAAGAAAGAAAAGTTAGTTGAGCAGATCCCGATGGATAGGTATTTCCTTTCACTCGAGTATTAAAAAAAAAGCTTCAAAGTTAATTCGGGATGACGTATCGATCGTAGGTAGTCAAGTTATTACCGAATATACTACCCGAAATTAAAAAAAATACATACAAACAGCCCCTCATGATACATATAGTCATAGACTCATAGCATAGATAGACAGTAAGTAATAATCGTCCAAGATAAGATAATCAAACAGCGAGATGGAGTGAAATCAAAAGCTAAGCAAAAAGAAAAAAAAGGAAAGATGATGAACTAGATATCCCAACATTAATTAGCATAAACATCGACATTAGCATCAAAAATTGACATGAAAGGAAGTTTTCGTAGATCAGATCATATCAGATCAGAGTATACTCTGAGGTATAACTTTATATACCCCAGGATATATCGAATGGTGCTTTTTTTTCTTTTTGAGTCAGGTCCCTGGATACGGCTGAATAATGTCGCCGCTGATACTGCTCCTACTGCCCTTCTTTGGTGCAGCCTTGAAGAAGGAGAAGCGTCGGCCCATCGGTTTAGCGGTAGTAGTGGTGCTGCTGGTCGTCGTTGTCGGGATGGAATTAGGATCAGTGTTGCTATCGTTACTGTTGGTATTGGTATTATTATTGGTATCGGTTCGTGCTCCCTCTCGAGCTTTCTGCACCTGCTGCACGCCCTCATGCACCGCCCCGATCGAGGCCCCCTTGGGTGCGGTCGTGCTCAGCGTCTCCGTCGCGCGGGTCTGCTCGTTGTACTCGGCGTTCATCCGGGCGATTTCGGCCTCAGTGACGAGGCGCTCGTTCTCCAGACGGACTTCCCGGCCGCGCTTGTGGCAGTACCAGAGGACGAGGAGGACGACTGGAAAGGGAATGTGTTAGTAACAGATACTACTACTACTACTACGACTGGGGTTGAGATAACAACTTACTGAACAACGCCAACGACCACAACACGTTCATGCTCATAACGGCCGGGAAGCGGGCTCGCAAGAAACCGATAATCGACCGCAGCACGCCCACGAGCGCAGTCGGCTTGGCTACGAGCTCCTTGAAACTGAGCGAATTGAGACCCAGCTTCTTTGCCGCCGCGGCTGCAGCGGCCTTGCCTGCATTGCTCGCGTCGAGCCCGCTCTGCGAAGCCCTCTCTCCAGCAGCGGCGGCCAGGAGTTCCGGCGCCAGCGTCTCGGTCAACCGGTCCGGCAGCTGCTCAACCAGCTTCTTCAGGAAGCTCGGCAGGTGGCCAAAGGCGTCCCGTAGCTGCTTGTCGCCGTTGGCCAGCAGCGACTCGAGGTCGTGGTATGCAGTCGGCACTCCCGTCACCAGGTCCCTGAAGATGAGCTTGAATTTGTGCAGCAGTTCCTGCGTCTCGTCGCTGATGGAGAAGACCCGATTGTTCTCTGCCGCCAGGTTCAGCCGTTCCAGTATCGCCGTCATATCCTCCATTTCCCGTTGCCGCTCTTGCTCGCTTATGGGCTTGCCTTCGGGGGTTTGGGGCATGGTAACGTTTTGTGCAACACTGGCTGCAGGTTCCTTCTGATCCTATACATCGTTGTATCGAGGTAAGTTTGTATCCGCAAAGATCCAAGAGGGGAAAGGGGAGGGATACCTTCTTCTTGGTCACCATACTACTCTGCTTCATCCAACTCCACCGTCGCAGCTTGTTCTTTTTGCTGGTCGATTTAGAGGTTGTTTGACTGTCTGCACTTCCAGAGCTTTTCGCCTTTGCGTCCTCTGCATCTTTGTTGCTCTCCCCTGTCGCAGCTGCTGGTCGCTCCCTGTCGGCCTCCTCCGTAGGCGACGACGGCAGCGGAACGTTCTGAGCACCGTCCGTCGGAGCAATCTGGGTGTCCTGTCCTACTCGTGAAGTCTCCTGAGCAGAGGCAGTCTGCTCTGAGGCTGAAGGATTAGACGTGACCCGTTGCAAGAATGCCTCGTCCTCTTCCGTCAAGACCGGAGCGGGAGCCTTTTGCCAGGGGTTTGCTCTGGATGTGATGTAGTTCACATATTTCATTGCCATGCTGCAAGGAAGGAGTTTCTGATTGAAGTTCACACGGTAATTTAACTAGGCCCTTGAAAATTATCGATTGACTGGAAGAAAGACGGAAAAGAGTAGGTACAGGAGGATTATGGCCGGTTCATTGAGTCCGGATGGACGGGAATACAGGGCTGACACTTCGTCAGATAAGAAGGGTGGAGAAATAACGTTGATAAGCAGGAGGATGGGGAAAGTAAAAAAAAAAGCTTCTCTACTGCTTTGTGTCCAGAAAGAATACCAATTGTCGTGTTGTAGGCCTGACTATGCATGTACCTTACATTATTACCGCGGGCGTAGCACCGATGAACTGTCCGGGGTCCCGCGATGATATCAGCGCTTCCACCCTTCCGCCGGCCAGCGCAAGCCTGCAGGTGATCGGCTGGTTGGTCCATGTCGATCCACCCAGATCGCTAAGCCACAGGAAATCCCAGAAGCCACAGCAGATCGTGCACAGCCACCCTCCGCACTGCTCCAGCCAATCAACGGAGGGTCTGGAATTGGAGTCTTTGACTCGTCGGTTCCAGGAAATTGAGTTTACTTACCTAGTTAGGCAGGTATGACTTCGTGCATCGATAACAGAGGAAGGTACATGCACCTGTTACGAGAATAGTGTGGTGAAGAATGTGGGTGGGAAGGCTGCCTAGGCACTAGATAGTAAAGACTACAGGCATATAGTAGAAAGCCCTTGTTCTCTTTAAATCAGTCGAGAAAAAGAGACCTGTACGGCCTGTAGAGGTGTATGTACAGTACCTAATTAATATCAGTAATTGTCTGCTATGTTTTCGCTGTCTGAGAAGTCGACGTAATTAAATAATGGGAACGTCGAGTACGTCGCTGCTGTCAACTTTTTCGTTGCAATTGCCAGAAAAGATGTGATAACTGAATCAACCACATTTTAGCAGACACGGATTTGGGAGTTGTGATTCAATAATCACTACTTCAGATCAACCTTCCTAAAACTCCATCTGAACAGGGGAAAGGACCACACATAGGGGAGTGCAAATTGGATGGCCAACTCCTGACAGTTTCTTATCCTTTGAAACTGTGTGAAAGAGACAATACTTGAGATTTGTTATGCTCGATAATTAGCACTAACCAAAGACAACATTGAAAGACACATTCCACGTACCATAACCACTCTCAAACTGTCCCCAAGTTTGCTAGCAGTCTTGGTTCTTCTCTCTGGTTCTGCTGCTGATCTCTTCAAGGCACGCTAGTGAACATTGTTCCTGAGCCTACTCAAGTCAGCTCAGATTCACTCTTCTTAGACTCACTCTTCTGAGATTCTGTCCTCTAAGATTCTTCTTCTCTGAGTTTCACTCTCTCAGATTCACTCTTCCAATATCATCTTTCTGACATTCACCCGTCACAGCTGAATTCACTCTTCTCAGATTCACTCAGCCATCTCACCTTCACTCACGTTCACTATCACATCCTACCTCTGATTCTTTATTAATCGCCACCATCCTGTCTGTCATCGCTTCTGCGATAAGACGTTCCTCAAACTGTGATATCCAGTGGTCTCCTAACCACAACATCCAGTTCTGCGATAGTCCATACGTCTTCTGCGTTCATCGCTTTCTTTCTCATCAGCAAGATCCAACATGGCAAGTGATATGGGTGAAGACGCAACTAAGCGTCATGATCGAAGGGTTAGCCTGTCTGTTATGGCAGAGGCTCTGCTGCACCCCAAGCTTGATATACCCTACTTTTCACACGAACCTCTGGATCCGCTCCTTTATCCTGGTGGTAGGTCACCATTCTCTCGGCTGCTCGGCGCCCTAGTGTCCCTAGACATCTTTAAGAGCTTGCCAGTTGTGAAAAAAGGAAGCGGCTGGTCATTTTCATCACTCTCCAACTTCCAGTTCTGACAGTATTACAGACCTCAGCAAGCCTGTGGAAGGTGCACCTGAAAACCTGCAACTCGAAGAGATCCTACAACAACAGCGTCAAGAAGACCCAGCTGAGCTCAGCTCTGGATCGGACGATACGGAGACACTCGAGCAGGTAAGTATACGACCTCCTCTTCTTCCCTGAGCTCGCTAATGACAATTTGGAAAACCACGCAGAACATCAATATCTCTCTAGGCCGACTCGTCCCAGAACAGACTTGTTGGAAGCACAAAGCGGCTATCGAAGAAGAAGAAGAAGAAGAAGAGGACGACGTCAGTGAGAAGATTCCTGCGAAAAAGATCAAGCTCGAGGGTGGACTACCAGTCGTTGCCAAAAAGATTTCTGCTTTCGACGACATGGACTCCGACGATCAGCTTCTGTATAACCTCAAACTTGCCAAATGGTCCGAAAAAGGACATTCATGCGCGTTTTCAGGCTGAAGGCCGTACTGGCTACAGCAAAAAGACCATCGGAACTCGATTCACGCGCATGAAGCGCTTTTTCTCCAAGGATCTGGACCGCCGCCTCGAGACGGCGAGACTGACTGGCACGCCGACGACGTAAGTCTCCTAAGTACTAAGAATTTTACTATCCTTGATGATTTATCTTATCGCGTTTGCACGTGAAACGGACTAATGCTGACTACTACGCGCATTCCAGGACGTTGCCCTTCTGAAATCCGTCGACGAAACGGAGGCGGAGATCGAAAAAAAAGAAAAGGAGTTGGACAAGTCCAGGTGGGATCGTGTCGCGGAGCGCATCCGCAAACACATCCCAGTCGCCATGTACTCCGGAGACGCCTGCAAGAGCCGGTACGAGGCTCTGAACGACGGGACGGCGACCAAGCCGCTGGAGCTTCGCGAGAAGCTCGACGAGAAGACGCTGGCGAATTTCGCAAGCGTCGGGAGCAGCTTGCTCGCATCCGTGAGTTTGAGCGTGGGAAAAAGCCTGAGTGAGCACTTTTTATCGGTGATGAGAGACGGCCGTCCATGGCCATGTGTGTGGTCCATGGAATATCTGATACTGGGGGAAGGGGAGCGCTGGACAACACATGGCCATGGATGGCCGTCTCTCCGCTATCTCTTTTTCTTATCACCGATAAAAATGCCTCATTCAGGCTTTTTCCTGCGTTCAAGCTCACGGATGCGGGCAAGCTGCCCCCGGCGCTTGCGAATGTCGGCAATGGCGGGTGGGCTTTTTTTTTCTATTTTGGGAAAATGATATCTGCGGGAGGAGGGGAAATAGCGAATGTATTTAGATTTATTGCAGTCAGTTGAGAGCTGAATCCTGCTAGGTACATGTACATACACACATGTAGTTACGGTTCGTACATGTACACGGTACAGTATGAACCTAGCTACAGGGAAATGCCATTCACTTGCTATCGATCGTTTCTCCCACTGGCTGCCTTGCGTGCCATGCTTTGCTAGCGCTTCGGGAGCTTGTCGGCTGGGCCACCACGCAGGGGAATCATCCACTCAAGCCCAGCATCACCGTCGTACATTCAACAGCCATCTGCACGAGCAGGGCCCCGGCACATCACCGGCATATCAGCCGCCAATTGCGTCGCTCTCCTGCCTCTCTCGACCTGACTATCATCCTTGCATCGCCACAAATCCCCAGAGTCAGACTGCTGCAGCCTGGCTGGCTGGGATCATGTGACTGCCTAGCTCGTACAGCAGGCGCAGTACATATCAGCCATCACCCCGCGGGCGTCGTCCCTCTTCCTTCTTTCTTCCCTTCCTCACGCTCCGGTGAGTCGGCCGATGAAACCACGCGCGTGGATCTGATCTTCAGAACCTCGTGCGCAGAGTCTCTTCCAGGATTGTTTCCTCCTCTGTCCCGATCCCCATTCGCGGCTTCGGGCATTGTGAAGGCTCATATCCTGCAGAGGCTTCCAAGACTCCCACCCATGCTACGTGCATGAGCAAGCAGCGTCAATTGTCCGGTTAACCCGCACGCTCTTTTCAATTTATCAGGGTTCTTCTGCGTTCTTCTGCCGCTCTTTCACCTTCACTCGCTAGATCTTCGACAATTTCTATCCCTCTTCGACTACAGCAGCCATGTTCAAACGCTCTTTTCCTTCGAAGGATCGGGTTGGCAAGGCCGTCAAACCCTCCAAGAAGACCTACCGTGAGCATGCGAAGGTGAAAATGCAGGAATCGCTGGACAGTCCGCCAGTGGGAAGGTATGTGCTGGATCAGATGCGGTTTTGGGTGATATCGCTGACTGCTTTCTTTTACTCTCAGCCCTCTCACCAGCCCCCATAGTCACCTTGGTTGTGGGTCATGAGAGGCGTCTTTTTGCGGCACACGAGGATGTCCTGTCGCGTTCCCCCTTCTTCGAAGCTGCGCTGAAGGACCAGTTCCTGGAAGCCGGCACGAAGCAGGTGGACCTGCCTGACGAGTAAGTCGTTCCTCAGTTATCTTCTGCTACAGTAATCGAGAACTGACGTCAGACCAGAGAACCAGAGATACTGTCCTGTGTCCTCGAGTTCTTGTACAAGGGTGATTACTTCCCCCGCTTGCTACTTGGCAAGCGCCACAACTCTTGGGAACTTGAGGGCGCCCAGGATGTTTATAAAACCGGTGGCCGTGGATCCAGCGAGGCCATAATGTTTCATTCCGGCGTGGGCGGTGAACTCCTCCGGGACACCGTCGTCTACTGCGCTGCCGAGAAGTACGGCTTGGAGGAACTCAAGTGCCTTTCTCTTCGGAAGCAAGGCCTTCAGAGTGGGATCCCAGTCGACGTGATCTTACAGTCTGCTCGGTATGCGTACGACAACACGCCGGACACGGAATCGCGGCTCCGCGCTCATTACCTAGCTCTGATCATCAGAAGTCGTAAGACTTTTAAGAGGAGCGGAACCATGCAGATGGAGATGGAGATTGGTGGCAAATTGTTCTTCGATCTGTTCGTGGCTATGAGCAACCATATCGATGACCTCGTGGAGATCAGGTAAGTGGTCCTGTCTCTTATCTGTACTGACATGATTTTTTTTTCTTTCTGTCCCGTCAAACACCCCTGCGGGCACGGGCACTTACTCTTCTGAAAATAGCAATGGCCGATCACCTAAAGTCATCTAAAGTATAGTTGCATCAGCTCAACAGATCGAGCGTCGGATTGTATATCAACGCAGGGTATGGGTCTTAAACCAGAATGGCAGGATGACTGAGAAGACCCGAGGTAGTTTGTTTGCTTATCGGCGAAACAACTCTTTTTTCTTTCGAGGTTGGCCGCCAAGTTTTGGTTTCAGACTGAAAACCACCCTACTTCATTTTTGAAACCTGGAATAACCCTCCACTCCTTGACGTATGGCAATTTGCCGAACTCCTGTCTACCGGTGTCCTTTCAGAGGACCAGATCAAGTCTGCGACGTCTTCGCAACAATTTTCTCTTTTTTGTTATCCGTATTTGGACGTCTGCTCCATTGGTTTCGCCTTCTTCGCTCCTTGACGTATGGTGTCTGTATGATACTTGCCGGCTGCGAGAGCCTGATGATCGTGCTAATAGGAATGAGATTCGGCCACCTCAGCTGTCTTCTGCTTGCTGTAGACATGTAGATGAGTTGACCCCAGTCTTGAAGAGTAGGCCTACTTCCTGTTACTGTATTGAGGTTGTGTATCTTTGAGTTATCCCAATATGAAGTCTACAATATATCATACTACCTTAGAATCTGAAACCATGTCATCATATTCTGCTGATTTGCAATTTTATTGCCCGTTCTTTCCCATATCTTAGTTCTAGCAGAGATCCGCTAGTAGACTGTGCTCAAGAAGCACATACTTGAGGGTTTGGAACTCTAATCATACCTGCAGTAATTACTATCTCTTATACCAGGTCCCCAATCTTGAAGAGGAAGTAGTTAAGAGATTAATCATTCGCTCCGCCTAGGGTCCTAGTACTCTTAACCTCCATTCATTTCTACCCAGAGCCTACCGAGTTCCCTCTTGGCTTTCTGAACCAACTTGCTTGAGCTTGCTGCTGCTGCTCACAGGTCAGGTTACCATATCCTACCAAGAGTTCATCTCAGCGTGGATTTCAGTCTCGTCTCAGTTCTCCTCTCAGTTCTTTTTTTTAAGAACTCACTATCATTTTATTCCCATTTTACTCCGAGACTACGGCTTTACATCAGCGATTGGAACTTGGTTGATGCGAGATTGACTTTCAGACTTTGGTTTCGCTTCATTGAGCCGTCACCATCTTTTTTCCCCCCGTTGACTTGCTGATTTATCCTTGAGAATTATTACACTCCATATAGCTCCAATTATTTTTATCTTCTTGGAATTTCGTCACGTTTTGGTATCCGTTGATATTCGCACCAAGGAGACCAACCTGAGTATCCAATCTTGGAGATTATTGCTTCAACGGAGCCTTGACTATTCTTTCGCGTTGTTCGAAAAACATTGCAAACGGCGAGCTCGTCCTGACGATCTTTTTTCTTGAACAGCTATTACAGCATGAGATTAACCAAAGGTCTGAAACCCATCGACCGGTCCCAAGACCTCCAACCCGGCCAGAGCTTCATCGTGCACTACAACAACACCAGTCTCCGGAATCGCAAGGACCTCTGGCTAGGCATCATCATCCCTGAATCCCTGACGACTCCCACGCTGCTGTCCAGACGACACCGGAACGCCAAGCCGCTGAAAGGTGACTGGACCGTGCCTGTTGAGAAGCGTGCGTATGGCGTCTACCTTCCGGGACAACCATCGGATACAGCCAGTGGCTGGAAAAGAAGTGCTTATTCCAGATCGAAACCAAACCGCCAGACATCCTCGCCAATTCGACGCGCGATGACTGCAAGCTGTTTCTGGACCTGCACAAGCTGGCCAGACGCCATCGAGAGGCCGATTTCTGGTTCCGGATGGCGGAGGAGGAGCGCAGAATCAAAGGCCCGCTGGGGAGAAAGCCCTATTTGGTTTTACCTCCGCCGAAGACAGCATCTCCAGACAATGGTAGTAGTGGTAGCAGCAGTAGCAGCAGCAATGGTGACCGCCAATCAAAAGGTCCCTCAGGATCCGTGTCTGGCGAGTAAGAAGATCAGGAAAGGACAGCATTGGGGATCGAAGTCGGAGGACGAGGACCCCCTGACGACAAAACCAGTGTGGATGGTCATCCGCCCAGATCCTCCAGAGACGACCTCCTTGATATCTACGTTGGGTCAGGAACCGACCAAGCCATCTTCCAACTGACCCGCAAGATAGCATCCAAGAGCCCCGTACTCCTCCTCCACCTGCGAGAAGGGGACCCGTCGTACGTGATGCACCCCGACCTCTACCGGATGCCAGCATCGGCATTCGAGCCGATCCACTCGTTCCTCGCAACGGGCGACTAGAGCCCCAAACTCATCGTCGTCAACGAGGCCATCAAAACAGGAGAAGACGACAGCGTCCTGGGTGACCAATTCCGCTTTGGGCAGAAGTACGACCTCGAGCAGATCGGCTCTGTCGCCGAGCTACACGAGCAGATCCTCCGGCTGGGCCGGATCTACATCTCCGCGAAAGTCTTCGAGCTGACGACGATGCAGGTCCTGACGCTGTGGAAGCTGCAAGCGGCGTGGAATTCGTACTCGGGTGTCCCCCAGCTCATCGTCTTCCTGCAGACGGTGCAGTTCGTCTTCGAGAAGACGAAGCGCTGTCCCGATTCCCTCGTCCAGGGGACCTCCACGGAGCCGATGCAGAGGTGGGCGGCCGGCTTCCTGGCGGACTTGATGGACGTGTTCTTTCGCGCGTATCCGGAGCAGTTCTGGACGGTCCTGAGGGAGAATCCCACGTTGCAGGCTGCGGTGTTTGAGCGCAGGGCGGCAAATCTGGCCAAGAATCCGGAGAAATACGTCGACTTGGACAAGCAGGTTCAGAGAGCAGGGGAGGTTTCCAGCGTCGCAGTCCGATTGAGAGTCCCGCGTTTTTTTTTTGCCTTTTCGTTCACGGATGCATACATGGAAACGTTACGGACAAGTGTGGTGATTGATTCTTATACTTAAGCTGGGTGTCTTCCTGGAACTACTGATATAGCATCGTGGCATTTTATTATTTATCTATCTTGCATATCAATCCATCTAAACTTCAATTTAGCACTCTCTTGTTCTACATTTCCTACAGAACTAAATCTGAAATAAACGCTACAAATTTGAAATCTGTCACAGGATATTAGACTGGATTTTTTTTTCTTTACAATAATAATAATCTGCCCAGAATATATATCAAATCTTTTTGTTGTCCTGTGTTAACTCAATTGTATTAACGTGTTTTGCGTTCTGTCACGCGGGAGATCGACTGAACGCGGAGTCGGCGCAACTAACCGCTCGGCCTTGCTGGCCTCTTCCGCTAGAGCAAGGACACTCTCATTGATTCGCAACCACCACCAGTCTCATAGTGCGACACGTCAATTGGACTATTTCACGCATGAGATCGACTGGAAGGGTCTAATATTTTTCCTTTCCTTTCGTCTAATTCAATTCTCGTCACGTCGATCGACTGACCTCCTGATCCCCGAGCAATATCATCCAAACAGAAGATTGACAGAACATTGGAAGATCGCCCACCATGCTCTCCTCCCTCTCCTCCTCCCTGTCGAACGCGCGACAGTCCATCGCGCAGATCCTCAACTTCGCCCTGGTCCTCTCGACCGCGTTCATGATGTGGAAGGCCCTCTCCGTCGCGACCAACTCGTCGTCGCCCATCGTCGTCGTGCTGTCCGGGTCGATGGAGCCTGCGTTCCAGCGTGGCGATCTGCTGTTCCTGTGGAACCGGAGTCCGCGGGCAGAGGTGGGCGAGATCGTCGTCTACAATGTCAAGGGGAAGGATATCCCGATTGTGCATCGGGTGATGCGGTCCTTTACGGAGGAGGATCCGAAGATGAAGTTGAAGAAGGCGGGGTGAGTGGGCTGAACTTTTTTTGTTTCTTCTCCCTTCTCCATTGAATTGCCAATGGACTACTCTGTCAAATTCTGACTGCTAATCTAATGTCTACGTCTAGGACTTCTCCGACAACACTCTCCTCCGAACCCTCCGAAAAGCTGCTCACCAAAGGCGACAACAACGTTGCCGACGACACGGAGCTCTACGCGCGAGGACAGGGCTTTCTTGACCGCAAGGAGGACATTGTCGGCAGTGTACGGGGGTATATACCGGCAGTGGGCTATGTGACGATCCTGCTGAGCGAGTATCCGTGGTTGAAAACCGTGCTGTTGGGGGGAATGGGGTTGATGGTGCTATTGCAACGGGAATAATATAATAGGCCTGGGAAGGAAGGGTTTTCTTTCTTTTTTTTCTTAATCCCTTTTTATTTTCAAATTATAGGCCTCTGAACTGGACGGTATTATTTCTGTAAACTGGCAGCCTGAAAGCATTAGCATGCAAGCGGCTCTTCGGGATGGCAAGTTCCGCAGCGGGAATTCAGCTCTGACAAACAGGACTACATACAGTATGATTCGAACGTACGGAGTACGGAATAGCAGGCTAGCGTAACCCATGACTTGGCCATGTTGGCCTCCATTTTCTCGAATATTTCTATACCCAATTCTCATACTACGCTGTTGCCCTTGCTCCGTAGCTGCTTCCGCCCGAGTCACCGCCTTCGCCTTCCGCCTGATCTGCTCCACCGTTCAGCGTCACAATACCCCGCCATCGACAGGCAGGCTGAAGACCGAATTCAACCCTCCTCCATCTTGCTGTCACATTCGTTCCACTCTTGCTTCTCAACACTCATTTTTCTCTTCTGGAACAGCACAATGGGCAGCCAAAAGCGGATTGCAAAGGTACGTTTTTTTACTCCATGTAATGTCCTTACCTAGCACGTTCTGCACGTGGTGTTCCCCGAATGAATGACAGAATGCTACACTGCTACAGAAACGCCGGGCTAATGTTTACATTACTTGTTTACCAGGAACTCAGCGAGCTCGTCGAATCGCCCCCGGCCGGCATCACCGTTGAGCTGGCAAATGAATCGGATCTGTATGCTTGGAAGGTGTACATGAAGGGGCCGGAGGATTCGCCGTATCAGGTGCGTACACGCTTTATACACAGGTGGAGGCAGAAGAAAGCTGACAACAAAATGCTCCTGCAGGGCGGCACTTTCCTCATCAATCTCACTCTCCCCAAAGAATACCCCTTCAAGCCCCCGACCGTCTCCTTCGCGACCAAGATCTACCACCCCAACGTCTCGAACGACGACAAGGGCAGCATGTGCCTCGGAATGCTGAAATCCGATGAGTGGAAGCCCAGCTCGCGCATCAGCGCGGTCCTGGAGTTCGCGCGGCAGCTACTGGCCGAACCGATGCCGGACGACGCAGTCGAGGGCCGCATCGCGGAGCAGTACAAGAACGATCGCAAGCGGTATGAGGAGATTGCCCGCGACTGGACGAGGAGGTATGCCTCGGGGAAGAGTCAATAGCTGCTTGCTTGCATACTGCCTATACAAGTCCGAACTTGTCCGAATATCACCCAAATAAGGGGACTGCCGCATAGAGTTCAATTTATTGAACAACCGATACGAAGTGGGTAGCTAGCTTTAAGGAAGGCGAAAGACACCCACAGACACACGGTGATATTATATCATGGTTTTATCCAACCACTCGCATTCTCTATTCTATTCCATTCTGTTCGACATCCATTATTGCAAGGGAGGAAGGCGTTTGTTGATCAGGCGGGTGTTTTCACATGAGAATTCATTGATTAATTGATATCATCACGAACAAAAGACAGAAATTGCTGTTGGCTTGATTGGGTGGACTGCACTGGGCAAGGGTCTCTCTATGAGGTCGGCTTGTTTGTGTTTTTACTCTGCATACATACATACAAGGTAGTTGTTAGTTTTTGACAATGCATTCCAATCATCCATCTTGTACTGTACACTTAACATACTCACTATGTAGGTATTCGTATATTTTTGCGACTATAGCTGTGCCGCAATCGAGTACAACGAATATGTACCCTTGCCCTGGCAATCTCAATATGACCAGATATGTACTGTACAGACACACTGGTACGCGACAGTTGCATAAAGCATCGATCTTTCCATTCGCTGCAAGTGAGATTTCACATGTAGAGGGACTGACGATCATATCTTAGCTGAGCAGATAGTCATCGAGCTTTTTTCAAATCTATATTATACTTTTATCTACCGGTCTTTTTTTTTCTTAGAGCAGACAGGTTTCCATCAAGGTCGTACTGTACAGTACGTAGGTTCCAAGTTCCAACGTCCCCTAGACTATAGGCAGCCTTTTTTTTTGGAAATTGATGTAATAATTATCAAATTACCTATGATATGATTTCAACCACTAGACAGTTTCGTCCGTTCATTATTTATTCAGGGAGTCCAAATACTAGTGTAATCAATTTCGTCTGTCTGGCGAGAGAGAGGTCAGCTTAAGCGCTTGAGGAATAGGGTCCATGCAATACAGCGATCAATCTTCTTAGATGCAAATGCGTGGTTGAATGTCGAATGAATGCAAAGGAACTTCGGAGAGGAGATGCTTTCCATTGCTTTCTTTTCTCTTTCTCACCACAGATCTATTCATTGCCGCTATTAGCTGTTGGAAAGATCTTGATAACCTATTATTATTAGCCTGTGAACCTTTGAAAAGCTCGAGAATACAATATACTGTACTTTGCTCTCTCAACTATAAATATGAGAGTGACAAGGTTGAAATTTCCTCTTTCGGAAATGCTCAACTGCCCTATCTGGGCTCCACTTTCTAAATGCAATACTACCGTACCGTAACAGACTGTACATACGACGTATGGAATTTTCATTTCGTCACGCAGATCTTTGGCAAATTATGGCATTCTACCATGAGATGAGAATTGGAATAGTACTGGCAGTAAGCCTTCCACCTCTCATGGACACGATGGTGGCCAAGGCTCCCTGGATTGAAAGTGACTACTTGATTGGCTGTGGTAGATGAGATCATTGCACTTGTCCCAGAGAGGTAAGTGTACTGTACGATGGGATGCAACGTTACCTTTACGAATTTTATAAGCCTGAAACTGCAAATATCAGCTGTGAGAAGTTCTGTCGACATGGGCGGTGCAGAAGAATACCTCCCCGCACCGTTTGAGGAACATGAAATCCACGCCCTCTTGGACTCCATCTCGCTGGGCCAACCCCTCTCGATCCAGCCATTGAAAGTGACTGCCGCTTTCCATGCCATCTACATTCTGACCTACGATTCCAAGGTCCTTCTAGAGAAGTTACGAACTTCTACTACTTCTGTCTCTACTTCTGTCTCAACTACCGACCTCGTCCTCCGCATCTCTGGCGATCACATCCCAGGCATCAAAACCGAAAACGAAGCAGCCGTGCTTTCATGGCTGCGGCAGAATACAACCGTCCCTGTACCCGAGGTCATCTGCTATAATGCCACCACATCCAACCCCCTCAGACGAGAGTTCATCATCCTCAGCCGCTGTCCGGGGGTCACCATCTCCGATATCTACGATGAACTCTCGCCCGAGAAACTCGACTCGATCCTCAGGCAGCTGATGAAGATCCTTGTGGAGATCCACGCCCATCCGTTCGACACAATCGGTGGGCTCGTCCAGAAAGACGACGGCAAAATCGTCCCAGGCCCGGTGCTGGACGAGCACTTCTGGTTTCTGCCCGACATCCCGAAGTACTTTGACAGTAGCAAGGAGACGTTCGACAGTCTCAACGTAAAAGGCCCCTTCTTTTCGTATACCGCGTATACGATCGCTCTGATGGAGAAATACATCCATGTCGCGCAGGTCCAGCCGTCGCTCGGCTTTCTGCACAAGCACATCCCCCGTCTCACGGCCTTTGTCGACGTCCTGCCCAAACACGCGGCCGTCTTGGACAACGCCCCCATCCGCCTGGCGCACAAGGACCTGCACTTCGCCAACATCCTCTACGACCCGGCGCAGGATCTCATCACGGGGGTACTCGACTGGGAATTCGCCGGCACCGTGCCCTTTCCGCGATGGGACCCGGTGCGAGCTTTCCTCTGGAACAGCAAGCCGGGAGACGCCTCGCTGAAGGAGAAATACCGTCTCCGGGACCGCTTCGCCGAGCTGTGTCGCGAAGAAGGTGCAGAGTTCTTGCTCCAGGACGCGGAGTTCACCAGCGATCTGCAGGAGAAGGTGCATCTGGTGACCAACATGATGCGCATCATGACGACGCTGGTGCCGCGCGGGCAGTTTGTGGATCGCGTGCCTGAGTTTGAGGAGGATTTGGTTAGGGGGTTGGAGGCGTTTGGGGTGTGAGTCAAATTCGTCACGAACTAGATAATAGCCCTATATAAATGATCACAACACTCTCTTCAAAAAAGAAACAATTTTTACATTCTTATTTTCCAATTGGGGTTATATATACGTCCATACGGTCGGTTCGGATCGGCAACGGGCCGAAGAATGGGTGTGGTGTAGTGGGCCTGTATGCATAATTACACGACGAATTGTAAATTACATTTGTCCTGTACTCTGTACGATCCTGATAATATTGCATTTGCACTGCAATGCACTGAGTTATGGTTTATTCTAATTGTGTTATTATTACCTACTGATAATAAGAGCGGAAGTGCTATGTATCTCGATGTCTTCTGAGATCTGGACGTATTGTATAGCAGACAATCAATCTTTACGTTGTACGTGAAACGAAACAAATCTCTTATTTTTCCAGCCTCTTGACTTCATCAGTCTACGTATGTACAGTACATTGCTATCTACTTTCTGGTGCGATTGCATGTCCTCTGGGAGAGAGGAGGTGATTAGGTGCCTTTTTGTTGTCTTACGGGGACTGGAAGGTTCTCTTATATGTAGGTGAAGAATCAGGTTCGAAATGACCTATCCGTGCCAGTTCTCCATCCAGCCCTGTGAGACCCTCTGCCAGGAGAACGAGTTTAAAATAAAAGCATTTCTATCAGGCTTATACTATCGTCTTTTGCTAGACAGGTTTTCGAGAGAAAATCAGAAATTATATATCCAAATTCGGCTATTAAATTTAGCTTTTGTATATTCTTCCTTGCTAGTATTATTCATTCTAATGCAAGAGCAGTCACATGTCTATCAACCATACTCCGTAGCATTATTCTAGCAGGTGGACTACTCCGCATGCGGCTTGTATACCGACCTCGGCATACTGGCAGGTCTAGACCGCACGGGCACCATCCTATTGGACCAAGATCCCGCTGGAGACGGTCCCGGCATGCGCCACATGGCCAGGGGAATTATGACTGGCTAAAAATAGGTTATTGGCATACTATTTGCTAATAGATTTATTCGAGAATCGAGAGACTGATGGCTGTCACGTGAGGAATCAGGGACACGGGACCGCTATGCCGAATGGGGTAAGGTGTGGTTACTCAGCATCGTCTTCATGTCACGTTGGACCCCCTGTTGACGAACTGCAGCCGTGACGAATACGGCGTATACTCCGTCTTGTTGTCTGCACCGTGTCATTCTGACGAGGCGGCAAACTTTCTGCAATGCAACGCAGGGTCAGGAATGTGAAGCAGACGCGCGACACGCCGTCGCTCTGAGGCCCGCCAGCAGCCCGGGTTCGACGGCGCCCCCACCGGCCTGCGCTGCGTGATTCGCGCGAAGATCCAGATCGTCGATGAGCTTCGCAAGCCCGCTACACCGGGGCTCCGGAGAAGGCACGGTGCTCGCCCTGTTGCATCTCCACTCCGGCACGCGTGCCCATTATTGGCAATGGCGGAACTGCTAATTCGAAATCCTCCGTCCCTGGCCGTCGCGATCGATATGACGGCCTTTTGCGGTCGCAGCCGACTGTTGCAGGCCCTTTCTCAATCCCCCTCTTTCCATCCATCCCTTCCTTGCCCGGCTGTCTCGTCCGGACGTCCCTTCCTTCAGTGGCACTGCCCATGCGGTCGAGGCCTCTCATGCCTCCCTGCCTTTCGTCCCATATTCTGTCTTTTCCCGTTGCCTCGTCTCTCTTTCCGTCGTTCGCGGAGTGATTATCTTATATAGTAGATTTCATTTGTCTCGTAGTTGTCTTCGTTATCGGCCGTCATGGTCGGCATCATCGCTTCCAGTCTGACGGCTGACCGCTCCAAGAAGCCGACTGCCAGCCGCGTGCGGGACAGCAGCTGGGCAGACGTACGTGAGAGCCAGTTTGAGTTGCCCCGATTCCTCGTGTCCGACTGACCCCGTTTTTATCTGCTGTCCAGGGCCTCCGCGGCATTGCGTCAGTCTTCGTCGTCTCCAGCCACGTCACCCTCTGCTTCGCTCGATACATCGTGCCCCCGGCCCTGGCCGAGAACGGGCCCAGCGCCCTGTTTCAACGTCCGTTCCTGCGCTTGGTCGGCCAAGGAAACGCATGGGTGGCCGTCTTTTTCGTGCTGCTGGGCTTTGTCAACTCCCTGAAAACCGTCCAACTGGCCCGCGTCGGCGCCGTCAACGATGCGCTCAACTCCTTGGCCTCTAGCACGTTCCGAAGGACCGGTCGACTGGTGTTTCCCGCCACGGCCGTCACCATCCTGGCCTGGTTCTTCTGTCAACTGGGCGCCTTTAATCTCGCCACTCGAACGGACGCATACTGGGTGAGGACGACGAGTCCGCGGCCAAGTGCCTCCTGGGTTCGGGCCATCGACGATCTGATCCGCCAGCTGATTTCGACCTGGGTATACGGGGAGAACGCATATGACCAGCCGCAATGGGCGTTGATTAATCTCTTCAAGGGGTCCTTGTATGTGTTTACGACCCTGCTCGCCACCGTCAACACGACGCCAAGATTCCGACTCTGTGCGGAGGCGGTGTTGTACATGTGGTGTTGGGCCGTGGGTGACGGTATGCTTTCTCGACCAGTTGTTGATCGTGCGGGAAACTGACGGATTCGCCAGCGATTGTCGGAATCAACGTGTTTGCCGGGATGATGATAGCGGAATTGTCGTTATACCCTCGATCGCAGCCGAAGTCGACTGTCGCCCATGTGATTCCATATCTGTTTGCGATTTTGGGTCTCTACCTCTGTTCGTTCCCCGACTCGTTCTACGAGCAGGCTGCGTGGTCGAGACAGCTGTGGCAAATCGGGCTGGTGATCTTCCCGCCGAACGCCCTGTTTGGGCGCTTTTTTCCCGGGATCGGCGCGCAGATGCTCTGCTTTGCGATCCTCTTTTCGCCGTCAATGCGCAATGCGCTGTCGAATCGCTATCTGCTGTGGCTGGGGAGCATCAGCTACCCGCTCTATCTGCTTCACGGCCCGTTGATGCGGTCGGTGATGACGTACATGGTTTTCCTGCCGGCCTCTCTGACATTCAAGCCGGCGTTGCTGGAGGATGGGATGCCGGACCCGGAGTCCCTCATCCCGGTGCCAAGTCGCTTGACGCTGTTCTTGGTGCTGCCCATCTTCTTTGCTTTTTGCTGGTCGTCGTCCGACTGTGGGCCGTCAAAGTCGAGCCCTACTTTGGCGCTGCGACGGATGCGTTTGAGCGGTTTGCTCGTTCGTGGGGGAAAGAGTCTTCGAATTCTCCCAAGCAGAATGGCAGCATGCTGCCGACGTTTGTAGCAAAAGATTGATTTCCTTTTTTTTTTTTTCATATATATATCTTATACGGACGCGATAGACAAAACAGGGTGGGCGTTTGGGTCATTCGGTCATTCATTTGTATATAGTTATCCTTTGTATAGGTTATGCAATAAGTTGATACGATGGAGAAGGGAATTGGATTTCACAGGCCTTGAGACACAGCAAGTTATCAATAAATAGACTGACTGGTGATCTCACGTCAGATTAGAATTTGTTAGCCAAGACAGGTAACTACTACCTAGTAGATACACCCTTGTCTGTCCTGTCCTGTCCCGTCCTGTGTTGTTTCACGGTGTTGGCAGCAGTGCAGTTCCTGGTAGGTCAGAGAGTAATCCCTACCTACATGGGTACTGCCAACCATATACTGTGGTATATAGTACCTGTTCGGCCACAGCGCCAAGTGCTGAGTGCCAAGTGCCAACTAATACCAATCTAGATATCTATCAAACAAAAATCTCCAGTCACCCTCTTGGATATAGTTCTCTTTTTCCGCGGGTGTCATGCTCTCGAACTTGGACCAATGCTCCTGATACCAGCACTCTTGGCACTGTAGTGAGTCCTTGACATTCCACAGCGCCATGACACTCTCCCAATCCTGCAACATCCATTTGTTGTCGTTGTTCAATCTCGGGGGTCTTTTTTTTTTCTTCCAGTAACTCTTCCTTGTCGGTCGATATTGGAAACAGTCAACACAGAAATTCCACGCTCTATTCGGACGTCCCGCCGCGTTGAGGGGTTCGACGACTCTGAGCAGCTCCTCCTCTTCTACCGTCCTTCCCCAGGGGCGTGACACTCTGATTCCAGCCAGCGATGATGATGCCTTTAACGTGACAAGTGTTGAGACTTGGAGAAGGTATTTGCACGTCCGCGCAAGGGCGACTTGGTCCACCATGTTGGCATAGTTGAATATCTCGACAAGAACCTTGGCGGGTAAACTTGACAGTCCTGAAGACTGGGTCCACGCTGAACTGGATAACAACTGGGAATCGGTTAATTAGTCGCGATGAAACTGTGGCAATTCAGTTATTGACTCTCTTCCTGCGGGATCGATATGGGCTTCCAAAGACGATCTCCGCCCCCCATGGCAACTAGGTACTGTAGGCGTATTAGCTAGAACTAGACCTCAGTCGCAGTGTCTTGCTGGATACAGCTGCAATTCGTAGGTATTTTTCAGCTTGATGTCGTTGTCATCGCGTTTCTTATCACGCTTTGTCCGTATAGCCTTGCACGCTCCACGGAGAGCGTTCCTTGAACAGGAAGGAGAGATCTCCCTAGAAAGAAGCGTTCTATGCTGCCTACGCGGCAGAGTGTTGCTAAAGAAAAGTGACAGAGGGATAGAAGAGGTTTGTCTAGATCTACAGCAGATGACGAGAAGCTACGGAGTAAGCTGGCAGGCAGCAACGCAGCCAAAGGAAGTTTACCTCATAACTACCTTAGTTAACTAGGTAGTTAGGTACCGCTATTTGCTCATCTAAGTCAGCTTCCTTGAATTTTCAACGAGGTTGCTTGGAGCATGTACTGTGGATTTGAAGACCAATTTGGTCGTTAAAAAACTGGGATAATCATTCTTGGGCTGAGTACAGTAGGATCTGATTTCCATAATCGATAGTACTGTAGCATAGAGCAAAATCTACTAAAATACCAAGGTCAACTATGTCACAAAGTATGGAAATTCTGCTAAAAGAATCAGTATGAATATGGGAGCTGATCACCTGACTCACCGGCTGTTGATCGATATCCACATGCTGTATGTATGTCTGTACTTACATCTTAGACTTACATCTTAGATCAAGATAAAGTTCGTCAGACTCGGCCATCACACGACCTCTGCGGGACAATCCTTGATTGGCGTTATTTGTTTTTGCTCGTTCTCATCGAAACGAACCTTAAGCGCCGCCATCACAAACCCGGCGGCTACACAGAGCGTCACCACCAATCAATGAGGCAAACAACGTTGGACGCGCCCACGACGATATTGCCTACTACGATCGACCACTCGCAGGACAGAATTAAGCATCTGCATGCACAATGTTTTGTTCTTCACATCCTGGCCTGTCAGCAGTAGCGTGCCGCCATGCCGGGAATCGTCACCATTGGCGGCCTCGGTGAGGACGACCGCACCAAGATGCCTGGCTTATAATTCAGCTTGGTCCATCTGAATCCTGTTCGACTACCGGAGACTTTTTCATCTCCCTGTTTCTTCTCGTGCAGTCAGTCGCGGGCTCGCTGGCTGATCTTCGTTTCTGCATCATCTGATCATCACGCAGGTCGTGTTAGAAGATATTGTTTCTTCTGAACTAGAGCAGGTCTCTACATCCATATATCCATATATCCATACTCTCTGTGCCGTTCCAGCTTGTCTATCTGTCGTTCAAAATGACCACCGGCCAATTCCAGCTCTTCCCCCCGCCGCCGCCGAAAAACAAATGCTCCAACAATCCGTTTCGCAGACCGTCCAAGAAAGAAACGGCACGAGACCGATCTCCCAGTCCGGTTCAGTTGGAAGATCTCAAGTCCTCTGCCAAAGCAGAGTCGGTGGTGGTCCAGGTCGTCGAAGACACCACGACGAGCGATATCAATCCCCCGCCGCAGGCACATCTCAGCCAGTCGAGGTCTCCTGTGCCAGATGAACCTGCCAAATCACCTGTCGTGGTGATAAAGTCCATCTTCCCCCGCTACAACCCCAAACTCCCCCTCGACAAGCAAGAATACTATCCCCAGAATGCCGGTTCCAACAGTCTCCCGCAGCCAGCTAGCCCTCAGAGTGCAGACAAACCCGTTCATCCAGCAGACGTGGATGCTGTTCTCGGGCCAAAAACAGTCCCGGCCAGTGTTGTGAATTTCCCAACTGACGCCCTGGCCGTCGAAGAAGTCCGCTATTCGTCCGCTGAGGAACTGCTAAATCTATGGGAAGCCGCCAACGGACAGCAGTTGCAGGGTCTGGGGACATTCAATCTGCGTATGGAGAGGTAGGACGCTTCCATCCGAACCTCTTATCCAGTCTACTAATCCGACATCTAGGATCAACGCCGCAACGTTCACGTTTGGCGATCCTCAGCACCCGTTCTACACGCTCCATACGTACTCGACCAACGAGCTCTCGCTCATGCGGAATCACCCCCTCAAGCCGAATCGGAGCGTCCAGGTCATGATGCTGAAGCTCGAGGACCGCGCGCGCCGCCAGCCGCCGCACGACGGACTCGTAACGATCATCTTCTCCAAGTTGGCAGCCATGCTAGCGGTCGAGCAGGCCGCCGAGCTTCGACGGCTACATCATCTGGCGCCGACAGAGGCGCTCGAGGTCGAGACCAATGCCGTCAAACGGGCAGCAGCGCAGGAGTCGTGCCGTCTGATCTGGAACGCGCGGCAGGGCCGGTACGAGCTTCAGCATCCTGCTCTCCTGAAACAGAACGCGCCGTCGCTGGTCGGCGAGGACGGGAATCAGCTCTCGCGCGTGCAGACGAAGAAGCCCGGCACGCTGCACATCACTGTCTCCAAGCGGCCAGGGACGCAGCCGCCCAGCATTCTCGTCACCAGTCCCGTGGCTCCCAACGCCGTCGAGGGCGCCGACTCGGCCGCCACGCCGCGGACATCGACCCTGCCGCTGACGGACAACGACGAACCCTTGGCATCGCTCGACCTGGGCAGCATGTGCCTGTCGATCTGCGCGGGGCTCACCACGACCATCATCCCGTCACTGTATGCAATCGACTCGCTTGTCGCGGCCATCCTGGCGGTCGCCGTGTCGGACGAGGCGACGAACCCGGTCCTAGCAGACAGGGAGATATACACCCCTGGCCATGTATCTGTACAACCTCCGCGAGAGACGGTCCGTCGAAACAAGATCCGCAACTCGCTCGCCGCGACGAGCACGCAGACGAAGCGGTTCACAGGGAAGCTAATCGCGACGATCGCCGAGCGCGAAGACGCAGAGGAAGAAGCGATGCTGATGGCGCAGCTGCGGTCGTCGACAGCATCATCAAAGAACAAAAACAAAGACAAGAAAAAGAATAGCCAGTCAAAGTCGAAATCGACCAAACAGATCGTCATCGACGAGATCGACCTCGAGAAATACGGCCGCTACGGAAGCAGCTCGTCGCGGGCAGGCCAGGAATTGCCCGGCCCGACGCGGCTGGTCCTGCGCCTGATGGTGTGGCTGCTCGAGGTGGTCGTGACGGCGCTGACGGCCGGCGTGAAGTGTCTGGCCTGGATGCTGGTGAATGTGACGCGGTGCTTGACGAGTGAGCAGTTTTAGTTGCAGCCAGCCAGCCAGCTAGCCAGCGTCGGCGTGTCTAGTCGATATAGTATGTACATGAGTTCCAACAGGAATTTCCCTCCTTCTGTTTTCGCCTTCAGACCAAATTTTGTTTTCTTCTCTTCTCTTTTCTTCTCTTCCCTTGCACTGAGTGTTTCTTGTTTCTCGTCACCGGAAGAAAAAGGAACTGTTTACTGAGATTTGGACTTGGATTGGCCATGGATTGGACGGAGTTGTACTGGTTGACTGAGGTTGTATATGATTAGGATGGATACCCACGTAATATATGGATGACGGCGTGTAATTAATCAATTAATTTCTAATATCTGAAGATCATGTATACACACTCTCTATCTACACAGTAATCACACAGCAGTACTCACCTCCGGTTTGCTGCCATCGTCATCATCATACGGCCTCACCCCCAACGTCCGCCAGACCCGCGCCGTGTCCATCGTGACGTCCTTGCTCGTGCTCGACAGGGTGATCTCGGCATTGCCGTCGCTGGCCCAGACGATGCTTTTTCGTCTGTTAACATCAGTCATGCAATTCAACTAAATCAATAAAATAGTTTGTCTGCCAGACATACCAATCCCCCGCGTCACCTTGGTACTACTCTCCCACCATTGCGGACGGTAATGGATCTGGCTCTGACTCTGGCCTTTGATGCAGGACACAATGTTGGCGGCTGCGATCTCGGCCTGCTCGATCCCTGCGCGCGACGTTTCGTGCAGTGTTGCTGCTGCTGCTGTTGCTGTCAAGCTCAATGACATCACAAATGGCGTAGATGTTGTCGTGCTCTGCAATCTGCAGCGTCGGTCGAACCTTGATATAGCCTGATGCGCTCGCGGATCGAGGAGGGCGAGAGGGCGGCAATAAGACTGGAGTTGGGCTTTATGCCGACGGATTTGACCTGTGACAGATAGTAGACAGTCAGTCTTGAATATGTATATACTAGGTGTATCTCACCAAACAGTCGCAAGGCATCTTCTTCCCAGACTTCATCACCACATATCTGCTGCCACTGCCGCTGCCATCCGAGTTTGATTATCTTATCTGATCCGCCCGGACGGCGGCAGGCAAGCGGGCAGGCAAGCAGGGGTTCGTCCGTAGTCGGCTCTCTACCTACCGAGTACGGAAACAGAATACGGTGTTAGGGTAAACGTTCAAGACCTGGTTTCCTTTCGGAGGGAAGAAAGGCAAAAAAAAGAAAGTCGATGGAAAGATAGAAATGAAGGATTCTGTACAGTACCTACACAGTAGACAGGAGTCTAGTAATCCATAACTTGGAAGTCTACAATATAACATTTGGATATCAACGTAGGTAAGAGTCAATCCCACGTCTCGTCAGGACGTCCCTTCTCGTCTGGAGTGGAAGGTCTGGATGATATGTGAGTATGAATAAGTATATGTGTGTACTGTATGTAGGAACAGGTTGACTACGACTCTCGACTAACGAATATCGCTCAATTAACGTAACAATATACTGTCCTGGTGTTGGAAATGCTGTCTTAGACGGCTACACCAGAGTAAATACCTAGATAGGTAGGTAGCCATGCACATACTAGAACTCGAATTACGCACAAAAGCAACAACATGACAATAAACATAACTGATCAGATCAGCGATCAATCTACATATCTCTGGCATGAGCATGAGCATGAGCATGGAAGATCTGCTTGCGATCATCTCTTGTGCATGCATATGCGATTCACCTCGTGCATGGCTGAGGAAGTTATACTGTATCTCGAGTCCTGTCTTGTCCTGTCTTGTTATGCCATGCCAATCTCAACTAGATTCCTCAGTAATTAATTTACCGACGTAGACATATGTATACGTATGCTGTCGATAAGCCTTACAATGAATGGCATCTGGCTCTGGCATGTGTATACAGTAGATTGAATCTGCACTGAATCCGACCCACTCACTCAGTTATGCTGTGGTATGTGTGGCATAGCTGCATACTTTAGCTGCACTGCATTCCAGTGCAAACCCTAATCTAGTAAATAATAAAAACTGAGATGCCCTTTGGAACCCAGGTACTCTGCAGTCTACAGTCTGCAGCCCGCCTAATAGGGACATATATATGCACATTCCCCAGTGACCAGCAGATTGATCTGCGTTTGGCACGTTGCTGGGCCAGAGTATGTAAATACATCGGTAAAGTAATGATGTTCATGCCACTGAAAACACCGAAAGGGATAAATGATGCCATCCTCCCACTGAAGAGGTGTATTCTTCATCGACAGGAAACTGTCTATATACCCAAGACAACCAACTGTTTCCATCTTGTTATTATTCTCGAATTGAATTAGATTAAATCGATCGAAATGCGCAACTTCCTTTCCATCCTCGCCGTCGCCGCTGCCGCGACTCAGCTCGTGGCCGCGCAGGCCCTTCCTCAGGGACAGCAGGGTCAGGGTCAGGTTCAGCATGGATGGGACTGTGCGGTAAGCATAGCCCTGTAGTGTACACAATAGTTGGTCATGTTCATCGGCTAATTGCCGACGCAGCTAAATACCCTCCTCTCCAACACCCACGCTGCAGGCTGCAAGTCCGGCGACCTGGGCTGCCTCTGCGCCGACCACGTGCGCCGCGCCGTGCTGCGCGATGTCGAGAAGAACTGCAATGAGCGCGATCAGAAGAGTATGCAACTGAACTGCCCATAATACTAGCGAGTCTCGAATTTCTTGCTGACAGTTGTTCCCTTCTCACGGGCTCATGCCATTGCCAAGCACGCCTGTGACCTGCGCGACGACCTAGACGATGTCGATGATCATGATGACCATGACGATCACGACTACCAGCACGACCACAACAAGCC